AGGGAGTCCTCCCGAGCTCCATCAATCCTTCAGCAGCATTTTGGAGTCTCGTCCTAAGGTCTCCTGAGTACACCCTGGCAGTTGGCAATCTCCAAGGCAGCCCATGAATCAACATCCTATGAACTATGAGACGCTGATTACTCAATTTATTACTTCTAGGATGACCAAAGGGCTGTTTACACGAGGAAATTAGAATACTTCAGAGTACTGTCAAATGTGCCCTGCAACCTTACTTCTGATTTATGTGTTAGTTCAGTTTCTCTCCCCTTAATGTTCCTCGTTGCAGGTGACTTTAACACTTGTATGATGCATCAGATTTACTTTTAGAAAGTTCCAAATCTCCGTTTTCTCCCTAACTGCAAAAGGCAAATGCAGGAGTAATACGGTTTCCTTAATACATGAGACAGCATGCTCAAGCAGCACCAACAGACTGGTAGATGAGTCACCAACAATTTTCTCTCTCATGGAGATACAGAAAGCAGGTGGTATTAGTTTTAATTTCTATTCACAGCCATGCGATTGTGGATTCCTGGCTGCTGCAGTACGCTTAGGAGAAAGATGTTGGGATCAGTCACCCCAATCTGATTATTATGGTCCTACTGATCTTAATCAGGAGGCAATCATGAATTACTCACTTGTTTCCCATTTACATGTTTGCATCAAGTGATTTTACAGTACTGCCTGATAAGAGAATGTAAAAATATGAACACTTCATGCTGAAATATGGCACTGACTCACTGCTGAGGGGGATGGAGTTTCAGCCCTTTTTTGAAACATGAAACAGGCAACTGCAAGACAGACACCTGACCTAACGAAGTGGATATCTGCACTTGCAGGCAAGTGAAATGATGTTTAATTAAGAATATTGACAAGGTTATATGTGGGGAGAAAGGAAGCAGAGCCAAAGGGGAAAAGATTATGCCTGAAGTCCTTTGGGGAGTCTGGACAAAGGGAAAATTTGCTCTGGCAGCTAACATACTCTGCCATAGAGGAAAGATGTTTCTAATGAGTGAGGCTCTAATGGACATACCCTGACATGGCAGGAAATGTTGAATACTACCTTGATCAGGATGGGCAGCAAATCAGGTGGACAGGAGCGAGGGGTTTCTAGTGTAACCTCACTAAAAGCAGATTAGTCATGAGGTGGCTTGCTTTCTTCCTCCGTTTCTCTCTCTCTTTCTTTCCCTTCCTTCCTTTCTTCCTTCCTCCCTCCCTTCCTTTCTTTCTCTTTCTTTCCTGTTTTTCATAACCACTCGTAACTGTATTGCCTATTTTAGATGTTGTACACACCTATTTTCATCTGAATCTGCCTTCATCTGGCTGGAGTTAAACACATTTCCAAACAGGCCATGCTTCAATCCAAGCCAGAGGCTCCTGGACCCCACCAGATTTATCCAGCTCCCCAGATTTATTCCCTAAAGGGTGAGAGGGACCCTGCCAGCTGCAGGAGATGGAGATGGGTGTCTGGCCTCACACATCTGGAAAGACAGGAAAAAAAAATCTTTTCTGTGAGGGTAGTGGGGCCCTGGCACAGGCTGCCCAGAGAAACTGTGGCTGCCTCATCCAAGGCAGTGTTGAAGGCCAGATTGGATGGGCCTCTGAGCAACCTGGTCTAGTGGAATGTGTCCCTGCCCATGACGGAGTGTTGGAATCTAGGATTCTATGATCTTCAGAGATCAGTGATGCAAAACATTCTGCTCTGGCATGCTGCGGCAGACAAGGCTCTGGCATGTAGCAGAATACTGGGGGCAACGAGTCATTTCGTGTCCCCAGGAAATGTGCTGTTCCGCAACAAACCAATACAAGATGCCCCTACTCAAAGGCCAGGTAGGTTATAGTCACAGATGACCAAAGGATCTTTAAACATAGGGAACAGCCACAGGTGATCACAAGATCATTCAATGGTTTGGATTGGAAGAGACCTTTAGAGATCATCAAGTCCAACCACCCTGCCACAATGACTGCTGCTCATTTCTAACCAGAGCTGCTAATTTCTAACCAGAATTAGAATGAATTTGACTTCACACAGTATCACAGTATGCTAGAGATTGGAAGGGACCTCAAAAGATCATCTAGTCCAATCCCCCTGCCGGAGCAGGAACACCTAGATAATGTTACACAGGAATGTGTCCAGGCGGGCTTTGAATGTCTCCAGGGAAGGAGACTCCACAACCTCCCTGGGCAGCCTGTTCCAGTGTTCCGTCACCCTCACTGAGAAGAAGTTTCTTCTCAAGTTTAAGTGGAACCTCTTGTGTTCCAGTTTGTACCCATTACCCCTTGTCCTATCATTATTTGCCACTGAGTAGAGCCTGGCTCCACCCTCGTGACACTCCCCCTTTATATATTTATAGACACTAATAAGGTCACCCCTCAGTCTCCTCTTCTCCAAACTATAGAGACCCAGCTCCCTCAGCCTTTCCTCATAAGGGAGATGCTCCACTCCCTTAACCATCTTAGCTGCCCTGCGCTGGACTCTCTCCAGCAGCTCCCTGTCCTTCTTGAACTGAGGGGCCCAGAACTGGACACAATATTCCAGATGGGGTCTCACCAGGGCAGAGTAGAGGGGAAGGAGGACCTCTCCCGACCTACTAACCACCCCCCTTCTAATACACCCCAGGATGCCATTGGCCTTCTTAGCCACAAGGGCACAGTGTTGGCTCATGGTCATCCTGTCGTCCACTAGGACCCCCAGGTCCCTCTCCCCTGCACTGCTCTCTAACAGGACTTGATCTTAGAGACTAGCCCTAATCTTTAGACAGTAACAAAACCCCTCCATGCTGTCCTTTTGTAAAAATACATGTATTTCTTTTTGGATAACTCAATGAGAGAGTTTGCCACTTAGACATATCCTGCCTAAAAACTGGTATAGTACAGAAATTCAACCATCCACTCTGCTACTTTGCTGGCAGGAGCCCTGAGGAGCACTAATGCTGCTTCATGCAATCCTCCAGTAGAGCACATGCATCAGCATTGACCAGGGACCATTCCCTGAAGATGCAGTTTGCATGTTCTGGCACTATTTAGTTGACTAGTACTGATGTAGCCATTAAGTGCAAGACTGGAAAATACTGCTGAAGAAAGTATTTTCTTCAACATAAAATATAAAGCAAAGGCTGCACAAAAAGCGTAACACCCTTACAAGCTTCCCTCTAGAAAGCAGTCAAAAGTTTGCAATAAGTTGGAGATGTAATCGTGCAGTGGGTTCCCAAATTAAAAATCTGTTTAGAAACCACAATTAGCAAAACCAAATTCATCCTCCAACGGAGGAAGAATGTCTGGCTGCATTTTTGTTTCAGATAAAACCTACAGGGGAACTGCAATTCAAGTGGTAACATCTCCAAGGAAACAGCTGGAAATCTTGTGGTCTTCACAGATGCTGTAGTATTCTGTATTCGAAGACAAACTGCACTATCTTGTACTTTGCACTCCAGGGAAGAAAAAAAGAAAAAAAAAAACAAAAACCAAAGAACGCAGATGAGTTCTTAGGAGGATGCCACAAACTGTGCATTCACCAAACAAGCCTTCTTGCACTGGATCTTCATGCAAAGAATATATTCTTCACATCAGTTTGCTAAAATCAGTAATTAGCATGGAATGCTTTCATAAATCATTTTTTAGCAATTGCTGTATGTTTTCTGTTCTTCTCAAAAGAAGTGCTCTTTAGCACAGAGGAACTGTGACTTCCTCTCTCCACACATACCAAGCCAAGATTCTACCAGCAAAACCAAAAGAAACCATTTTCACCTTTGCCTCTCTACTCAATTCCAAGTTCAAACTGACACCCATGAAGCAGCAATCAAGATACAGGACTGGCATGTGTCTTAAAAAAGAAACAGGGGAACCACAGAATTATCTTTAAGCATCCTGGGCTGCAGCAGCAGCAACATGACGAGCAGGTCAAGGGAGGCCAGGTTGGACAGGGCTTGGAGCAACCTGGTCTAGTGGAAGGTGTCCTTGCCTGTTACAGGGAGGTTGCAATTGGATGATCTTTCAGGTCCCTTCCAACCCAAACCGTTCTGTGATTCTCTGATCTGACTACTGCCTACACACTGCCCTCACTCACGTGCTTGCCCTTGTCACAAGTATTTGTCAATACGGCCCACGCTGGCTTTTCAACATCCAGGGACATTACAGAGCCAGAAACACATAGAACAACTCTTTGCTTCAGCACTCATCAGCATGGATCAAAGTTGTGGATTTCTGCTTTTCAGGGGTTTCCAGCAGCAGAAGGTTATTATTTGAGAGGTCTAAAATATAGCTATTCCATTTAAATTCCCCAGCATACATTAATGTTACACCACCAAGAGTTTCTCTTTTAATGCAATTTGCCAGCTTCCCCAGTCATAGATCTCTATGCCTGTAAAACCTTTCTATGGCTACTATAACTGCTAATACAAGACAAATTAAGATACAAAGGCAGTCCTGACCTTGACTTCACACACACGCAATGAACTGATGCCTCTCTTCTTAGCCACAATGCCTGGAAAATGAACTAGGAGAAAGGGCTTCAGCTCTTTCTTATATAGCTCCCTTCTTCATGATAATACTTAATGTATCCTAAAAGCACATCTGTCCCCTCTAATGACAGTACTTGCAGAAAGACGCTAAAATGGAGGCTGGCAATTTTCCATCCTTATAAACTCTGGAAAGCAGCCCTCGACAATAACAACCTGCGATGGGGTGAAATCAGCGGGGTTGGAAATAGCAGTGTTTGGTGGAGGAAGACACCCATGGTCATGCTGTCTGTCTCCTTCGGCACTAAGAACAGGATGGTTCCCTGCAGCGCATCCTCTAGTATGCTGCTTATAATAACAGTACTGTCTGGACAAAGCTACAATGGAATTTAACTCCATTAAGAAGAAACATCTGCTGATGCTCATTTTCTTCCTAATATGATGAATGTTCACAGCAGTGGTGCTGGCTGCAGTGGGTTTATTTTCAGATTAAGAGATAGATATATATTTTATATATATATATAAAAAGGTATCAAGCAAAGGTACCTGAAATTACAGCAATTTTCCATGACCCATGTTCCTCCTTGGCTATTCTTTCTGCTTCCTCCATCAGTAACATACCAAATCCCTATAATGGGAGAAATAACAGGAAAAAAAGGTAAGTTCTCTAAAAATCAGAAAATATAAGCAAGCTCAGAATATAAACATTAGTACAGTTCCAAAAGACATTTTTTTCACAGGAATGATCCTGTGATCAGGAATATTGCTGAATATTGCAGGAGAGGGCTTGAGAAGAAGTGCACCAACACTAAGCTTTACAGTGGAGCTTTCTCAGTGTTTTGTTTTTTTTTTCTATCAGAAAATTATTCATAGGCAGTTCTAGTGTCTGACTGCTTCTCAATGGAGGGAACAGAATGAAGTTAAATCCACTGAAGGTAGGTCAACTTGGTAGGCATCCTATAATTCCTGGTGCTGAATGAGCCTATCTGGCAGAGATAACCAATTCTAAACAATAATCACCCACCATAACAGAGCTGGGTTTGTGCTTGTGAATTTAACAGAGTCTGCGCATGAACACCCAGTGCCATTCTGATGAGGGATGTAAGCTCAAATGGTTAGAGTTGGAATGGACCTTAAAGACCATCTAGTCCCAACCCCCTGCCAAAGGCAGGGACACCTTTCACTAGACCAGGATGCGGCCAGACACTACTGACCAGAGATGGGCCTTGCTGCTGTTCACTTTTCTGATATACATCAGCCTTAGCGCCTCAGACTTTATTCCCACAACCTCTCCATGAGTCAAGAGCTGCTATCGTGCTTGTTTCAGGATGAAAATTGAGGCAGGCAGCAACCATAGGGCTTGCCAGGGCCACCCACAAAGGCTACAGCAAACTGGTGCATGACCCCTGCAGGAGGTCATGCTAGGCTCAGCTCATGACACAGGAGGTTCCAAATCAAAAAGAATTGCAGATGAACATGTTAACATTCTGGACCAGATCCACACCTATGTTTATGTTTGGAAATCTGGCACAGCAGGAGTGCTACTGGAATCATGATAAATACTTCAGAAGAAGGGAATAGCCTTTCCACTCTATTTAACAACTTCCTTAGTCCTATATATCTTGGAGTAACTGATTGGATTAATTAGCTCTTAACATTAGGATGGGAATTATACTTGGCTCTTTGTTCATCTGCTTTTCTGACAAGATGTACAGAATGGGGCTGTGGCAACACTGAAGCAGATATGATTTAATTCTAAAAAACACTGAACGCTTACAGGCATTTTTAAATAACACACAGAAATCTTCATTCAGAAACATCCTTCTAATCAGAAATTGCCCTCACAACTGTGAAGAACATTTTCTGATTAACCTCTTGAACACAGACTATTCCGAATGAACATGAGCGCGTCATATGCCATGAAATTTCAATTTGCAGCCTATTTTAATGTTTGTAGTTGGTTACTTTCAATAGATTTTCTCCCTCTTAAAAAAATATCTTTTTTTTCCCCACATACTTAGGATGATTTTTTTTTTTTCTTCCTACATTTTTAACTGTTAACTATTTTACAGTGGAAATACCCACTTCTCTCCCCACCTCCCCAAACACTGCCTTGTGGTCACACATCATCAGCATCTAGCAGGACTGCATCTTAATGCATATACTCAGGGAAAGATTAATAAATACAAGGATGTTAATTTAAAACATCAGCCCTGAGCACTTCTGGCAAAGAGGACAAACTGATTGCTTTTTAAAAAGCTCGGTCTAAAGGTTCAGAACCTACCAGGGCAAAATCTAATTCACATTTTTGCTCACCGCAAGCCACAGCATGTCACATGCAGCAGAAGGATAATGTGCTATTTTCATGAGTCACTGCAAGGAATTACAAACACAGCTTTCCACTCCATTCCTCACATACTATAGGATATACATGTGAAATAGTCTCACAAGCATGTCTGAAGCAAAAAATTGTCTGACCCAACTGAAGGAGTTTACTTGGGAGTATCACCACATCACCCAAACCAATAAATGTCTCAGAACCAAAGCTGGATTTCTAATTCTGGTAGGAAGAACATATTTAATAAATGTATCTTTGAAAGAAAACTGGGTGGTACCAAATAAAACTTCACCTTCCCATATGTAAATATGTCTCACCACTGTGAAGGTGGTGAGGTGCTAGCACAGGGTGCCCAGAGAAGCTGTGGCTGCCCCATCCCTGGCACTGTTCAAGGCCAAGTTGGATGGGGCTTGGAGCAACCTGGTCTAGTGGAAGGTGTCCCTGCCCATGGCAGGGGTTGGAACTGGATGAGCTTTAAGGTCTCTTCCAACCCAAACCATTCTATGATTCTGTGATTATTTTAGATTTCAGAAGTAAAAGTCATCTACTGAACATGATCAATTTTAGAAGGAAATAAAAAGACACAATGGATCACAGAATCATAAAATCACAGAACACCAGGTTGGAAGGCACTTCAAGGTATCCACTTTGTTTTGTTTTTACTCAGTCTGCAGTCAAGTCTGATGTACTGTACAGGTTATTAAAGGAAAGAAACTTCCAAACTAACGATGCTCGATATCGGAAAGTCAAATTAGCAGCAGCATATATGAGCTTGTATTGTACAGGCATGAAGCAACACTTGATAGCATTCAGATGTGCTTTTTTGTTTTCTAATTTCAGAGCAGTTGCAATTGCCTAAACATGATCACACTAGTAAAAACTCAGAAGCAGCATGATGTTGGCAGGTGAAAGTCAAGAAGGCGCTCAAATCCAATTCTGTTTCTATTGCAGTGACTATAATTCAAAGCAACCGAATGAATCTCAGATAATAAAATTCTTCTCCCATTATACTAGGGAGAGGGGAGAAAGGTGCAAGAAAGAGGCACAGATGAAAAATAAAGATGCTTGGAGTACCTGGTGCTGAAATTTTGAAGGATCCCGACTGCTTACAGGGACAACGCTCCCATACACGTGCAATTCCCGGACAATGGAAACACCTCCTTTCAGCTCAGGTCTGAATGACTCCTCCGAACACTTCCGCAGTCGTAGAAGGCCAACGAGAATATCCTGCTCTGGATCTTCATAGGAGAGGAAGGTCTCCCATCCACCATTAGCTACGTAATCTCTTCTAACTAATTCAATCTGGTCAAAGAGAAGAAGGGAGGACAAATACAAAGAGGAAAAGAGAAAGGGAAAATGTCCTTAAAAATATTTAAAGCAACAAACTGAACAGACCAAAACCAATTTCATGGGTCCATAAACTATTATGATTCAGAGAAAACATAAAGTGCTTTCTTAAAGGCCAATTTAATTCTAGATGGATTTTAGCAGTACTGGCTAAGAACTGCTGTTACTGCAGTCATATTAAAGACAAAACATGCGACTACCTTAATAAAAATGTATTTGCCAGTGAGACAGAACTAGTCTTCTATCCTACTTGTAGGTTTTCAAGAAGGGCTAGTTACACATGTGGTTACATGTTTGTAAGTCGGAAACCTAAACTCCACGTTTCTTAGTTACTTGAGTTTCATAACCAGTGCAAAATCAATGAGAGCAACAACTCTCACCTCTAACCAAGGGACTATCTAATTGAAATTCAGTTACAAATTTGCTAATTTAGAAGGAGTAGTTTTGCATCTGCCTTAACTAAACCTGCATTTATGACTTTGTCTCTACTGCTTTGCAAAGGAAATGGCTTGAGATATCTACAGAATATGGGTCTTCTAAGCAGCAGTCAACATCCTTACTAATTACCAAGTAGTACTTTCTGGCGCCTCACAAGTTCTACCAACATGAGCAAACTGTAGTGCAACAGGAGTGGATCTGAAAAAGCTGGTGTTGAGTGAATATTGCATTACACGTGCTTTACAGAATCAGCAGGAAGTTTTCTTACTTATTCAGGCAGTTCTGAAGACACCAAAATCATCCAGAAAAGTACTCTGAGAACTGACCAGTAACAACTTGTAAGTTGCCTCAAATGCTATTTGTTATAATAATCCAAAGTCACGTCTGAAGTACAATAAGTGGAAGGGAAAGTGAAGTGAGAGTGGGCTGACTACAGAGAATACAATAAAGACCACACTTGGGTAGAAAAAATTACTTCTGCAAAGCACCTAGAAGCTATGAAGAGCAGCTAGGGGATGAGAGCGCAGGAAGAATAAAAACCTTCTGTTTCAGACAGTTATGACCTACCATCATCAAGAAGCAGTGACAAGACCCGAGACATGACTCCCTTATCTGATGTCATATAACGGGAGCTGTGTTTATATGTAGCTGAGCTAGCCCCAGGTTAATTTAATGCAACCTGTAGCTGACGATGATAACGTCACATATCTGGTGACACAGTGAGTCACTCTATTTGTGTTTTGAGTTGATATGGTAGAGCTGACATAGCTGCCCATCCTTTCTGTAGGTATTCCCTTGCTCACCTCTAACAACCAGCTGCTAAGAAGGCTGAATTTATTTCCCAAATTGCCTGGCTCAACAGAGGAGAAGCAGCAAGAGTTTGCAGTATCGAGAGCCTGATGACAACATAATGTATGTTGGTGGAGCTTAAATACATGCCATGAACCAGGCACCCATCACCAGCTGGCATACATTAGGTGCACTCTTGGAAGGCACTTTCTAAATTAACCTGAAAGGACTCAGGTTGCTGTGCTTCTGGATACTTTCAAAGTGGGGAGCAATCAGAGGATTTGCTTTAAAAGCACACCCCTAGTCTGAACTAAAGACACCACATAGGTACAGCTGCTATTGTTCTGACAGATTCCTTTAACTTTAGGAATTTAAACATGTATGGCAAGTGCCAGATGCCCTGTGCACCAGCACTGTACTGGTGTTCCTAACATTTATCCTGATGGTACAGGATAGGATTGATTCCTCCATATAGGTGTATTGATTCCTGTGCGCCCAGGTGGCCAAGGCTGATACAAGGCTGGCTTGTAAGACCACCCCCTGTACTCAGCCCTGGTGAGGCTGCACTTCAAATCCTATGTTAAGTTCTGGGCCCCACACTACAAGACAGATATTGAGGTGCTGGAGTGGGTTCCAGAGAAGGGCAATGGAGCTGGTGAAGAGTCTGGACCACAAGTCCTGTGAGGAACTGGGGGGTTTTATCCTGGAGAAAATGAGGCTCAGGGGAGACCTTCTTGCCCTCTAAAACTACCTGACAGGAGGTTGTAGTGAGGTGGGGTTGGGCTCTTCTTACAAGCAGCAAGTGACAGGACAAGAGGAAATGGCTTCAAATTGTGCCAGGGAAGGTTTAGACTGGATATTAGGAAAAATTTCTTCCCTGAAAGGGTTGTCAAGCACTGGAACAGGCTGCCCAGGGCAGTGGTGGAGTCACCATCCCTGAAGGTATTTGAAAGATGTGCAGATGTGGTGCTTGGGGACATGGTTTAGTGGTGGACTTCGCAGTGCTGGGTTAACGGTTGGACTTGATGATCTTAAGGGTCTTTTCCAGCCTAAACAATTCTGTGACTCTGTATCTTGCCATGCTTTCCCAGTATTACTACAAACTAAAGCAAAGGACCTCAGTATTTTTTTGCAAACCTTCTCATACCCAGAAATCCATGAATTAAAGATTTGTTTATAGAAAAGCCATACGGGATTCTGTCGCCTGCCTGCTCTACTCCATGACAAAGCCTGGGCGAACGCAGCTCACAATTACATCCCTTGCTGACTGCAGAAGCAAGACTCATTTCAACGCTGATGTACAGCTCGCAGGGTAAGCACCCAAGCAGACATCTACTGATGTGCCAAGTTCTCTGAGAGCGTAACTCCGCTCCAGCTTGTGTGTCAGGACAGCTGACACACACTGATCCAAATCTACAATTAAGTACATAACACCACTAGTAAAATGGAAATGTGCAGGAAAAGAAAAGAGATTTTTAAAATACCCGTATTCTTCAGCTAGGTTTGCATGTGAAAAAGCAGTTAGGGTAAAGTTTCCTGCTAATCTATAAAAAGCCCCTAAAAATATTATTAAGCACTGTTATACTAGCAGTTTGAAATGGCAAGATTGGAGAACTCTTTGTTTCTTCTTGAGGACAAAACAGAACCAGTACAAAGCCTGGTTCCACTGCCTGTCCTCCAGCAGGGACTAGATGCTGCGTTATGCCCATCGCCAGTCTGAAAGCCACTTGTAGACAAAGCAAGACTACAGGAACCTTTACCAGGAGGTTTTGTATTATGTGCATCTTCTTAGCACCGTAAGGACGCACCAGATAAGCTCATACGCTCAGAAAAGTCCCTCCTGGGTTTTTTGTTCTCCCCAATTCCCTGGGCACAGAGAGTCCCTACAATACATAAATCCCCCTCAAAGGGGTTTTGGGAACTCATGAGATCTACAAAGCCTTTTTCTTCTGGGATACTGATATAAATGTGGCAAAAGCCATCCAGAATCACCTCCCAGTCAGCTGGTGCACAGCCATGGGCAGCAGCATACCACAGTCCCCAGCAGCAGTTCGTTGTCTGTAAGCATTGTGTGCGCTGGGTAAGGATAACCCTCATCAACGTGGACCACCATTTCAGTATGCAACCCTATCAAACCTCTGGCACAGCCTGTTTTAAACTTACTTTTACAAACAAAGGGGAAAATCCAGTTTCAGATTACACCCAACCTAAACCAGCTTAAAAAACCGCCTTATTCCTACAAAGGCTTTATATTGAGATCATTACCTTGATACAACCCTGCTTTGCAGGAACAGAAGCTTCTGCATTTTACACTTTCTGCTTTAACACTAATGTAGGTTCATATCTGTAACAGAGCTGTCATTGCCCCTCGCCTTTCAAAAACTGTCATTCTGAATGTCTCTTTACAGCAACAATTCACTAGAGCATTTTTAAGGCTATTACATAGCACTAGGCAGCCTCAACCACTCTGAGAGCAAGCAAGTACCTTCCACTGCAATGGAGAAAAGCCACTAATTGAAAAGGCAGCTTGGAGACAGCTCTGTAAATAACCAGCTATAGGCAAGTAATCTACTTCAAATTGATCTAAAAAAAAATTGAAATACTTTTAAAAGCAGACATGTAATCACCATTATGAAAATACATACAGCCTACTGATCCTTAACAGAAAGAAGATGCATAAAGCATAAGTGATTACAGCAAGCAATTAATTTATTTTAGATCTGACATGATAGCCTCTCTTATCAAGAAGATGCGCTGTTTACTTACGAAGCCAAAAACAACATCATACCTTGTCATTAGTCTAAAGTGCATGAAAAATTATACCATCTTCAGAATATTTCTCTTGCTTGCTGTCATGATAAATTTTGCAAAGACTACATAATGACATCCTCCTGTCACTCAGATGGATGAGTTTAACAAAAGGAATTTTCAACATAACATTGCTTTGAAAACCCTGTGATAAGCTATTTGCTAACTACTCAAGAAATTTACAATTTAAATTAGATTAGCACCACTGACAACAGACATCTTGGGAAAGATATTCTGTGAGATGACCGCAAATTAGATAACAAGTGCAGAGCATAAAGGCTGCATGGCCTACGTCCAAATGAGTCTGTACAGCCTCAATTCTTGCAGAAATCTGGTAAGAACAAGATTATTTATTGGGGATTGTTACACATTTATATAAATTATCCTGGGCTTCATCACCAGCACTGTTACCAGCAGGGTGAGAGAGGAAATTCTCTGCCTCTGCTCTGGTGAGACCCTCCCTGCAGTCCTGTATCCAGCTCTTCGGCCCCATTATAAGGAGGATGTGGGAGCAAGTCCAGAGGAGGCCACAGAGATGCTCCGAGGATTGGAGCAGCTCTACTATGGAGACAGGCTGAGAGAGCTGGGCTTGTTCAGCCTGGAGAAGAGAAGGCTCCGAGGAGACCTTACAGCAGCTTCTCTAAAGGGGCTGAGAAGAAATCTGGAGAGAGGCTTTTGATAAGGGCCTATAGGGACAGGACAAGGGGGAATGGCTTTAACCTGCCAAGGGGGAGACTGAGATGAGATCTTAGGCAGAAGTTCTTCCTTGTGAGGGTGGTGAGGCCGTAGCACAGAGAAGCTGTGGCTGCCCCATCCCTGGCAGTGTTCAAGGCCAGGCTGGATGGGGCTTTGAGTAACCTGGTCTAGTGGAAGGTGTCCCTGCCCATGGCAGAGGGGTGGAACAAGATGACAGTCTCCTAGACTAGATGATAAGGTCTCCCTCAACCGAAACCATTCTGTGATTCTGTGATTCTATGATCCTATGAATCGCTCGCTCTCTGCTGACACAGAGAAAGCCTAACCCCAGTTTAGTGGCTCACATTTTAGAAAGTGGGTATGTGCCCATTGCACCTGAGAAGAAAGATGTAAGTGTCTTTCTGATTTGGGTTGCTAACTGGGAGTAGGAGTATCTTCTGCCTGGCCTGCCTGGCACAAAGAATTCTTATTTGAAAGTAAAGGCAATATATGATGGACAAACTCCAGAATTGTTTCAGACCCTCCCTAACATCAGCAAAGGAAAAGGAACAGCATACTTCGAGGGTATGACTTATTAGCCACAGCATACATGTATAGTAAGATGAATTAGACCCTGTGTGATATTCGCAAGCTCATCTCCTTGAATGCCGGGGACCTCCTGACAACCCCCTAGAAGGACCAATCCCTCCTTGTGACTACAGTGAACTGAAGGATTAGCTTCTTAAACTGGATGCTTGAAGTTCAGCAATGAATATTTTGTTTTCTACAAAATAAGCATACCAATATTTTTGTGGACTATTTTAGAAAAGAAACACAACATAAGGGTCATACGCTAAATGGATCCACTCACATAAACCCACGTTTATGTGTGGAAGTGTATTTACACATAAACCATTTGCCTATATAAACATTCACAAAGGATGTAAAGTCGTCTTGCTAAACGGTCATTCCTGTTCAGCATACACACACGGTGTTACTGGTATTTTCTAGATCCAAATTTATAATGAGGAGGGAGAAGAGGAAAGGCAGTTATTTTGTTACAGCAGTGAAAATACCAAAGTAACTGCTGGCTGCAGTCAGTTTATTGAACATGGTGGTCCATAAATTTTAGCATGTGACTGCACTCAAACAAAAGACATCCAAAGTTGCTGAGAAAATAAATGGAAAATTGGATCCACCTACAAAGGCAAACCACAGTATTGGACGTGCAACAAATGGGCCCCAACGCCTCCACACTGAACACATACAACAAATTGTGTCTGATAGAAGCTCCTAGACAAAAAAAAACCCAAAAGACAAATCTTACCTGATAAGGTCTCACTTTATGGTGAATTTCTTGAATTCCGACTTCTCTTGTCCTTACATCACGACACTAAGAAAAGAAAGGGAGGAAAAAAAAAGTTACATAGGAGAAAAACATCAAGCTTTGCAACATACAGATTTCCAGACACCCATTGGGTTCAAAACTAAACTGAAAGAGCATGAAGTTTCAGAGATTAATTTCAAATGGGTAGACTTCAAAACAAAAATGCTCACCGATCCATTCTTAATACACCTCAGAAAGAGGTCTTAGCGCTAAATGGAAAGACATGCTGGCAAAAATCAATTCACTAAGCAACCATTATGGCTCAAGAGGAATTGTACCCTTTTTCACAAGCAGCAGGGTCTGGAGGCAAAGTCAACGCATATAGAAAAGTAACAGAGAAAAAACAAAAAGATTTTCGCATAATCCATTTTTATCCTTCATTGGGAAAGTCTAACATTGGTAAAATCTATACCAAAGCACCCAAGAGTCCTTAAATGGACAGATTTTGAATCTCGGCAACCCCTTTTCTTGCTTTTAAATGAGAATTGTTGAAGAAGCCCTGTCCAAATATCATAAAGTAAAGCGAACACTGCTCTGGCATCCACAGAGGTATCACTGAGGGTTGGGACCAATGATGCAGAAAACAAAGAGAGCCAGAAGAAATCTTCCCTTCCTTAGAAGCCAGACAGAAGAGGAGATGAGGGTCCAAGTTCAGTGCTTGAGAGATGGGTTATAGCTTGCATAAAGTTTTGTGCTTCTCAACAAATTCAATCAAAGTTGAGTGATTTGGCACCCATTCATGTAAGCAAAGGGCTGTAACAGTATGATCACTCCTACTGTGAAAGACTACATGCATCCACATCTTAGCGGGTTTATTGTAAGTCCAACACTAAACTTAACCCAACTTTTGTCAGCAAAGTATAGCCACAAGAGTTTTACCCAAAGCAGCTGAGTTGCAAATGCTTGTTTCATAGAATCATACATAGATTAGACCTACCTTAAAAAAAAAATAGCACTCATTCACATCAACATAAAACACCTTTATAAAACCAAGGGGTCTGATCCGGAAGTCCCAGAGAACACTGACATAGACTTTAAAGGATAAGGCTTAGGTGTATCCTTTAGCTATAAGGCTAAAGGATGTTTGTCTTTACGGTAAAAAGCTACTGGACCGATGTTTGGTTTTCCTTTTCAGTTTTCTAAATGGCTGGAAACTTGGTAATTGGCTTCAGAACAAGTGGCTTAAAAACATTAAAATTAACTACTTAACCTGGTCATGAAATTAACCCAGGAAAGGAGGCCTTGTGGGCTGCAGGTAGGTAACTGCTTACATCTGTTTGCATTTCAGAGGTTTTTCTGCAAACCAGAAGACTAAGAGATCATTACTGAGGAGAATAATACTGCTTTTATCATTAGCTTTCTTTCAAACTTTTTATATGTGAAACGATAAGGTCTGGGCATTGGTCTACAATATCTAGACTAAGACAGTCGAGATAGCTAGTTTCATTCCACTAGCTCTGCTGTATTTGGAAGGAAGGAAGATAACCTCCACCAACAGGGTAAAATTGGTCTAACAGCAAGAGCACCTACCTGCCCATGGATTTTGAAAAGCCAGACTGGCAAATGAGGATGCAAAAAACCAATTCACACAGAAATTCTGAATACCCAGAACAAGCACAGCTCCATCTCATGCCCTGTCCTCCTCTGAATGCTTTTTAATTCCATTATCAATATAAAGCAACCATCTCCCAAATAGCAGAAAAAAAAGGGTGGGCTTGTGTTAGTTTTTTAGAGTGGGCTATGGTAAAAGCAGGATTCCAGGATTAAGTGTTCAACGCAAGGCTGGACATGCTTTGAGCAGCCTAGTCTAGTAGAAGGTGTTCATGGCCCATGGCAGGGGGCTGGAACTAGATGAGCTTTAATGTCCTTTCCAACCCAAATCATTCTGTGATTCACTGTCATACCAGAATTCTAGAGTAGACAAATTCGTCTCTGCTTTACAATTTCTTAGCTACAGAAACAGCACTGTAAAAGACAAAGAAACATCCACTCTTCATTTAGAGGAACTAAGGAAGGGCAACATATTCTGGGATGCTGCTTAAAAATTCCCAATGGTGTATCTCCACTTGCACTCAGTGGCCGGCTATCATAAAGGCTAGCATCTGGTTCCACAACAAGGCCCTTCAAGAACAATTTCTTTCCAGCAACCATAGACACAAGCTGCAGCATTGGCATAACTGATACTGATTCCCTCTAACGTGCTCCTCACTAAGCCATTCCCCAGAGACGGATACCAGAAATGCCAGAGCTGGTGAGCTGGCAAAGATATGATTCCTCTAAATCCCCTTCTTGCCTTGGCCTTTTCCTCTCTTTAAGAGACAAGAGGACAAGGTATATATATAATTTTCTCCTGACACAACAAAACCACAACAGTACCTTACATTTCAAGCTATACTGGCTCCTCATTCCACCAGCTGCAGTGTTTCTGCCTCACTACATTAAAATCTATTATCACCTGCACAGTAGATATATCCACAGATTTGGTTCTAAAAGCAATGACTGCCAGCCTGACAAGCTCTTTAATGGTTCAGCTCTGCCCTTACTGCCATGGATCAGCTACCCCCGCTTCCCCAGCTGGTCTCGATCAGGTTCTGATCAAATTATGTGGTTTCAGTATCAAACTCAAGAAGTGTTCACTTAGCCCTAAAAAGCTCAACTGAAAAAGCTCAGCTGCATCAAGGAGATTGCCTCCCCTGCCTGGTTTTGAAGTGAAAAGTCAGCAGGAGGGATGGAAGCTTCTGTGGCTGGCAAAGCTGTCTGCCAAATCCTGGCTTGTTACTGGAGAGAGACTGGGATGAATGATTTAAGGAGAAAGTCCAGGGCACCAGCTTAGGAAACATCAAGGGGCATGGAAAGCACAGCCAGAAGAAGACAGTCTGGAGTTTTTCTTTTCTGATCTTTTGCACAGCAACTACAAGATCCAAGTGAAATGGCAAAGGCAGTAAAGGAGCTAGATGTAGCCAAGAGATCTACGTTAAATACCAAAAATACAGGTCAGGAGCACAAGCTGGTGTGGGACTACAGGCACAAACCCAGTAGCTGAAGACTTTATATTGCTGCATGCAGTAATGCCTTAAAAAATCTTTAAGAAAAGGTGAGCTAGAAAGAGGGAGCACTAAATCACAATACAGATTTATGGAACAGTTGTGGTGAGGATGTGACCCTGCCTGAACACCAAAGCAATTAAAGCCCTCTGGAATAGCCTCAAGAAGCATGTGGTTCATGTGATGTTTTCCTGTACAGAATCCTGGAACCACGGGTTGGAGGGGACCTCAAGGATCATCTATTCTAACCTTCCCTGGCAAAGCATGACCTAGACTAGACGTCCCTGCACCCTGTCCAGCCAAATCTTAAAAGTGTGCTGTGTTGGAGAGTCACCACTTCCCTGGGGAGATTATTCCAGTGGCTGGTTCTCAGTGTGAAAAAATTTCCCTTTTGTGTTCAGTCAGAATCTCCCCAGCAGTAACTTGTGCCCATCACCCCCGTCTTTTTCATGTGACTTCTTGTCAAAAAGGGAGTCTCCTTCATCTTTGTAGCCACCCTTTAAACATTGGAACATGGGGATAAGGTCTCCCCTGAGCCTTCTTTTCTGCAGACTGAACAACCCCAGCTCTCTTAGCCTTTCTTCACACAGCTGTCCAGCCCTTGGATCATCTTTGTGGTCCTTCTCTGGACCCTCTCCAGCCTGGCCACATATTTTTTGTACAGTGGGGACCAAAACTGAAGTCAGACATCCCAAGAATGAAGAACAGCATAATTTTACTGGAGGATTCTGCAAACTGTGGTTAATAACTGGGTTTCACAGGAAGGTTCAAAGAATGAGCAGTGTCACAGCAGACCATGAGATGCACTGTGAATGCCAGCTGCTGCAGTGATCTTCTGAGAAAACCCAAGACAGGGTACACGTACCTCCTTCTGACTTCAAATATGAACTCAATTCCTCCTTCCCCCTCGTTCTTTCCACCCCCACTCCTATTTTTATTTGACCACAGAAATATGAAGAATATCAAGTCTCATTTGTTTGTGCTGAAATCTCTCTTGCCCTCAGACTAAGAGCTTTTCTTTCAGTTGTTCAGTCAAGTAAGTGCATGCGTGGGAAAAAGAAAGAAAGGAGAACTTCTAATAGCATAAATTAAAAAGAAACCTTCCTGCCTTCTCTCTGATTTAAGGGTTTCATTCTGCTAAAAAATGGAATACCACAAACTAGCTACCAGCTGCATTCAGGAAAAGGGTGAAAGTGCTAAACTAAAAATCAGCCAAACAAAACCAGCTTTTCAGAAGGATCATCAAGGTGCTTTTCAATTGTTAGCTTCTTTTTTTTTTAAGACCTTTGCAGATCATTTTAGTTCAGCAGTAAACCTGGCTCCTATTGTGCCTTCCAGTCGTTCCTTTCCTTTATGCTATTTTGTATAAAGTCATCAAGCAGCTCTCCCTCAAAACCAACTGACAAATATTTTACCTGTGTCCCAAGATCTTTCATTCTGGCCAAGGCAAGCTCTCTCAGGTTCCCATGCTCCACTCCAGAGCTGACTAGCGGCATTGGGATATCTCTGTGTAAAAGAGCAAAAGCAAAAAGCACAAACAACTGCATTAGAAGACAATAGACCATAAAACACCATTACAAACACCTAAGCCAAGATCCCAAACAGCAGACCACAGAACTTATCTGAATTACCTTCATTTCAAGTCTTTGGTTGAACAGCAAATAACACAGACAAAACACAACTAAGAGCAGGGAAAAACAAAGTGAAAAAGCTACAGATTTTACTTCAGTAAAAAAAGACAAAAGATGGCTTTTAGAATCCTAAGAAACAGGTTATAATTTTGCTCTCAGTTCTTCACTTGGAAATTTGGGAAAAAAAAGAACACCCAGCTGGGCCTGTGACTCCAGGTCAGATGTCCTCCATGGTATCTGTTGCTGCGACCAGCAATTAGGAACCAGACCGCGTCTTTCTGCAGTCTCTGAGTTGAAGGGACATCAGGGAAAATTCATCAGAATTACATTTTAATACTGGGATACTAGCTGCTTAAAAGTGAGAAAGTTCTGTTTAGAAAATGATTTGCAGCAAAGCCCATCCCAAAAGTCTAGGGCCTTCCTATGGGAATGTAAATCATGAGTCTGCAAATGGCAGAACTCCTTCTTCCAGTTCTCCAAGGAACGTACTAAAATGAAATTTGAAAGCAAGATCAGGTTAGGCCTCTCCACTACCTTCCTGGGCAGTTAGTCCCACTGGAGACTATGAAAGCAGGATACCATCCCTTAAGGAAAAGAGGATTTATGCATCCAGATAAAGCTGAAAAAGAAATATGCAGATTATTGGCTCCATGCCCACCTTCTATCTAATGCTGTTCTATTTGGTGATCTCAAATGCTTCTCCCTCCCCAGCTCAAACTCCACCCTGGCATCTCAGTAACACACCACCCAAGTGCATTATGGTGTAACCCAAACCCCCTTCGATCTTCTTCAGGGAAATAAGGGATATGCAAGCATCAAAGATACTCAGTAAATTGTACAATATGTGGGTCTCAAAAGAGGGCTGAAGCATTCCTAGGTGAGTATTCTTCATTTTTCTCTATCTATGATAAAGATTCAATCAACAGAGTAAAAACCAGAACATCACAAAAAAAAACAACAAACATACAGAGAATGTGATGGTTCAGCGAACTGATAACATAATTAGCTGAATCTATGCTGGTTCAGTGGTGATTGAAAGTCATCATCATCTAGCAGCTGCCTGATGACCTCTGTAAAATGTATTAATTGATGCATTCAGTTCCTTGAGGACTTGCATTCACACTATGGCCCCCATTAACACTATTTGCAGCAGCAGCTGAGAAGATGGAAGGTCTTAAAGGGTCCTAAACACCTGATCCTTGCACTGCTTCAGCCTTTTAGAAGTGTGAGACACTGGCAAAGGGTGGGCAAGAAAAGTTTTCCTTTACCATTAAGAATGAAAACAAGAGCTTCAGGACTCCAGGATTCTCTTCCCATTTCAGCATCACTCCCACTTTGATACAACTTTCTCCAGCATAATCATAAAATCACAGAATGGTTTGGGTTGGAAGGGATCTTAAAGCTCTTACAGATCGTCCAGTTCCAACACCTTCCATTAGTCCAGGTTGCTCAAAGCCCCCTCCAACCTGGCCTTGAGCACTGCCAGGGATGGGGCAGCCACAGCTTCTCTGGGCACCCTGTGCCAGGGCCTCACCACCCTCACAGGGAACAACTTCTTAAGATGTCATCTAAATCTCCCATCTGTCAGTTTAAAGCCATTCCCCTATGTCCTATTCCTACAAGCCCTTGTCAAACACCACTCTCCAGCTTTCTTGTTGGCCCCTTTAGGTACTGGAAGGCTGCTAGAAGGTCTCCCTGTTTAATGGAGACCCCATGTTTTACTTTTCTCCCTTATTTTCCCTGCCTTTTTTAATCTAAAGCCAGAGAGTCGCTGAAAAATTCCTCACCTCTTACACTCACATGCCAAAAAGTTGAGGCAAAATATGATTAACTCCCCAGTTCATTTATTCAGTGGATTTCTTTGAGTAAATAAGACACTGCACAGCCACCACAACATACTTCAAAGAGCTTCAATTAGAGGAAATGAGCACTTCACATTGTGACTACAGGACACACTAGTGGAGAAAAGCATTTTCAGCAGGGTATGTTAGATCTGCAGTGATAATCTAACTAAACGCCTTTCTTCTAATTATGGAACAACTCCAAGAAGTCAGGCAGGATGTATTTTTCCCTTCAGGGACACAGATAAAACATTCTAACATCTTCCAGTACCAGGTCTTCAGCTAAATCCAGAGTCAGCTATGAAACAGTAAATGAAGTACTGCAAATAAAAGGTGGATTACAACATACAGTAGCTTGAGCCTCCCTCATCTACCTACTAGGGAGCAAACTAAATTAAAATATGTATGTGGAAAATAAGCATTTTAAGAAAGATAAAGCAAGAAACAAGCCTTCCATCCCCACTTCAGATTAAGGCAGGGTATTTAAATAAGTACCGTGTGTGCAACATGAGTGTATGCACTAACTGCCTATTTTGAATAGCCACCAGACAGCATTTTACCAGTGCTTTTAGGACTTGTTAGAATGCTAAACAAATTCAGGCATACAGGGGATTAAATCCTGACCTTATTAAAGTTAATGTGCAATTTGCCAGAAGCTTCAACAAGGCCTGTTTAATCTTCTATTTTTCAAACATTTTGCATTACTTAGGACACCTGTGAAGCAGCTGATTTGAAGCACACAGTGAAAGCCTAAAGACCTCAGAGTCTGCTCTCAGCTCTGACTTATTACATGATCTCTGTTGAGTCAGGTATTTTATTTCTTCATATCTACATCCCCCCATCAGTAGAGTGAAAAAAAACATTCATGTAAAACACAGAGATCCATGAAAGAAAAAGTCTCAAGGTGTGGCACTAATCCTGTCATTTCAGACTTTCTCACACACCAAAGTGCTTCTGTGACAATGAGATTCACAAACATGCAGAATAAATGCAGTAGCAAGCATCCCTGACAGTCACAAAACACCCTGGAAGATGTGTTCTCCAACCAGCCATTATCAACAGCACCTCAATTTTAAAGAAAAAGAAACCAACAAACCCAAAACATATTTAACATGGTTTCCTGACGCAGAAAGACTTCTACAGTGTTTTGTCAGTGACAACTCTCCCACGATTCATTAAACTGATTCTTATGAGCATGCGACAGACTACAGAAATACTGAGATCCTTATGTATCCTCAAAACCTTGTATAGAGAATAGAGACAGAATCACAGAATCACACAATGGCTTGGGTTGGAAGGGACCTTAAAGCTCAACCAGTTCCAACCCCCTGCCATGGCCAAGGACACCTTCCACTAGACCAGGTTGCTCAAAGCCCTGTCCAACCTGGCCTTGAACACTGCCAGGGATGGGGCAGCCACAGCTTCTCTGGGCAACCTGTGCCAGCAACTCCCCACCCTCACAGGGAAGAACTTGCTGTCTGGGGCACTAGCTGAATCCAAAAGAACTGTGGAAATAGAGCCTGAAATGTAAGATGCAAAGGATGGAAGACTGGAGGGAGATGGAAAGGTCCTGGGACAGCAACAGAGAACAGGGAAAAACTTGCTGTCTCCAGTGGAGCAGTGCTGGGAACAGTCCACAGAAGTTTTTAGAAATCTGGTTTTGTTTATTATTCTGCTACAGTCATAAAATTACCCTGAAAGCAATTTAGATCAATGTGATAACTTTTGGACTTTGCACTGGAGGTGTAAAAATCTGTAATCACCATGAACAAGTTTCAGATAATGAGGCAGTCAGTGAGAAAACAGCTATTCCACTGGAACATAATAACTGACAACAGGATGACAGCTGGATAGAGGCTGCTGCTGTTGACAGAGAAAATCAGTCAATCTCAGGCAAACCAGCACACCAGCAAAGACATTTCCAGGCCTGTGTTCCTTACAAGACCTGCTAGGCTGCAAACTCAAGATGTCCTTTAAGAATAAATCTGGTTGAATTAGATATGAAGATACAGTGAACAAACAGGCCATTGCATCTATAGTGGAATCAATGATGAAGGAGACGTGCAGGGATAAAAGGCAGGAGTTTTCTCTTTAATAATCACAAGATCATGGAATGGTTTGGATTGAAGGAAACCTTAAAGATCATCCAGTTCCAACCCCCTACCATGGGCAGGGACACTTTCCACTAGACCAGGTTGCTCTAAATCCTGTCCAACCTGGCCTTGAACACTGCCAGGGATGGGGCAGCCACAGCTTCTCTGGCCAGCCTGTCCCAGCAACTCCCCACCCTCACAGGGAAGGACTTCTTCCTAAGATCTTATCCCATCTCCCCTCTTTCAGTTTAAAGCTCCTACAAGTGATGTGAAAAGCCCCGGGGAATACCAAGTAGGTATTTACTGTGAGCCATGTTTGTTTTCTTCAGTGTCATATCCTTCTCAGAGTTCAGCTACAGCCACCAGTTTCTCACAGTAATGAAGATTTGAAGGAAGGATCTCCCAGTTGCTGAAACCATGTCTCAGTTACCTCACACTTGCGTATCTCAATCACATTCATAAGCCTAATCAAGCTTCCTCATATTCATATTTCTCTTCTCTTCCTCTTTGGTAACTTTAGAAGGCTACTCCAGAACCTCATCCTGACTCAAAATTCCCAGCTGCCTGCCTCATTTTATTCAAGGCCACTTCTTACCTTGTTCTTTCCCTACATCTATGTTCCTATTTCTTAAAAGGTTATTTTCCTTCTCTGAAAAATTTACAGAGGTCATTTATGTCCCCATTTATCCTGCAAAAAAGAGACTGGTGCTCCTCTGCACATATTTCCACAGATCATTTTCTTGAAGATGGGGATTATTCCAGACAAGGACTTACCAAAGCCTTGTCTGGCTGCTGCATTAATACCTTCATCTCTAAAAAGTGTTATACTGAAAAAAAAAAAAAATGCTTTTCACAGCTGCATTCACCAGTGACTTATTCATATTACAGAGCAAGATATTACAACTTTTCCTCTGCTATTTTCACATGATGACCTCATGGTTTGCAGCAAAACCCACTCCCAGTTTCATAGAATCACAGAATGGTTGGGGTTGGAAGTGATCTTAAAGTGATCTTAAAGATCATCTAGTTCCAACCCCCTGCCACGGGCAGGGGCACCTTTCACTAGACCAGTTTGCTCCAAGCCCCGACCAACCTGGCCCTGAACACTGCCAGGGATGGGGCAGCCACAGCTTCTCTGGGCAACCTGTGCCAGGGCGTCAGCACCCTCACAGGGAAGAATTTTTTCCTAATATCTAATCTAAGACTTTGAGTTTGACCTCAAAGTTCCCCAAACTACATCTCATCCCATCTCTATCACTTCAGCTTCACCACCACCAGATCCCACTCGTTCATCCTTCTCTTTTTCAATGATGCTTTCCAGCCCTGCAAGGTTTCCTCAATGCCCTGTTACCTTCTGCGTCACTGTAAATAAATAAAGTGTTGAGCAAGATTTGAGCAAGATCTTTAAATGGAGGTTTGAGAAACTCCAGTAATAACCCTGAGTCCATACTTTCTTCGTCAATGTTACCCAGCATTTCTTGTCTTCAGCCACCTTTCTTCTCTATCATGTTTTACTGTTTATCCTCACTCTGTCACGCTTCTTTCTCACAGGACCCAAAATCAAATGCCTTAGAGAAGTCCAGGAAGGTGATGTCTAACACACAAGGCTTTCTCATTCCACACGCTCTTGGAGAACTCAGCATTGGCACTGTTTCCAGCTCACATAGCTGGAAGCCAACTGAGTATTGTCTGCACATGTGAAAATAGTCAAGTATGTCATAGCCTCCCTTCCTATTATCAAAAAGATTTAGGAGATAAGAGAAGAAAAACAGTCCAAGGGAGACTCCACACTGAAAATATAGTGCTAAATGTAAGTATTATCTATTGTCCTGGGAGGTGAGCATCGGAAATAATGGCATTATCATAAGTGCATTTATGAAAACCCTGCAATACCCACGGGGAAAGAAAGGAAGTCTCTATAGCCAAAAAAAATGACACACCTCGTAGCTCTTGCAACAAATATAGGAAACATCACCCACAGCCAAGAGGCAATTATCCACCAGTATCATTAGAGAATTATGTGTGCTGCATCCTATGCTCTTGTCTGAGTGGTAGCAACAGTGAGGCCTCCAGAAATCTTCCAAGTTTCTGGGTGCATTACAGAAGCAGTTCAATTTAAATAGCTCAGAAGCAGTTCAATTTAAATAGCTTCTCATTCTATTTGGCCTTTCCCATCCCAAATAGAAAGGAAGCAGTTTTAAAAATCTTTAGTGTAATAATGACTAAGGCTGAAAAATAATAAAAGGCTGAGTCAGATCTTGCTGTAATTAAAGTAAGAATCCCTCCAAGTGCAACAAATCAATATACAAGGCCCACCACAGTAAATCACCTCTGCACACGGTACACACGTGTCCATGGTGGGACAAGGGCCAGGATTCTAGCCACCAGATCCACAAGAGTGCTGGGGGGGTAGCTCTTGTATCTTCCAGTCTTCCAGAGCTCGTACAGACCAGTGCCACGGATCACTAGTGTCGGGTAGAGCTTCATGCCGTCTGGACGAAAAGCAGGATTCTCAAAAAATTCCTGCAGAAGTGGAACAAAAAATGCAAGTTAGGGCAAAACAAACCACATTTCCTGGGGCTTCAGTGTCCCAACAAAATGAATTTCAAGACAGATTTTGTAAAGACAATTGTAAACATGTTTTAAGAATTACTGGCTTGCACTGAGTTGCCAGAATTTATCAGGTTGCGACATTTTTTCTTGAGATAAAGAGTACATTCTAGATTTAGAGAAGATGCTAAAGAAAAAATCCACATGACAATGCTACGAGTTGAATCTGTGCATTGCTTTTACCTTTCAGCATGAATTCAATAGATACTGCACCCTTTATTGTAACAGACTCTGCTCAGAATTAGAACAATAGAAATGAGTGTACTTATCTTCAATCTCAGCAGACCCCATTTAGAGATTAATCAATGTGTCTGCGACACATCATTTGAATAGCAATGAAGAAAAACAGATTTATTCTACAGTGATATTCTGAACAATCCTGGAGAATGGGAGGACAAACTGTACCTCCTGCTTATTCCTGTGACTAAATCCCAGCACCAAAATGCAAACTGGACAGCACCAGCTCATGCTACACAACAATCGCATTGGGGTGTGTGTGTGTGTGTGTGTTTGAAATTAAATTTCAGTGATGACAGTTACAATAAATTCACTTAAAAAAAAAAAAAAAGAAAACCAGGCAGGGTACCCTGGATCAAGCAACCATGGAACTGAATTAAGCAATGACATGGTCCTCATTAAATACCATCAATGGCCAGATCTAATACTGGATTAGACTGTTGCACACTTGAAATCCACCACTTGATCCCTCTTCAGCATTATAGTATGAGGAATAAAGATAATATAGAAAACCATGTAAGTTGAGATACTGGCAGGCTATCGTGGTCCCACAAGTTGCCACGCTAGCTTTGGTACTCACCAGCACTTTGCTGAAGTGCTTCAAACATTCATGTGGCCCAGACCCACTCAAGACATTTTGCTGTTTCCTACTGCTGCTGTGTGTTAAACCAGCTCCTGCAGTGCTTCAGCAAGCCCTGATGCTGGAATAAAGTGCCATTAGCAGCCTGCCGGGAGCAGGACCTCCCTACCCAAGCAGCTCTTGAGCAGCTCTGCTGGTTCACTGTGGTTCACAAAACCGTACTTCAACATGATAAAAAGCAGTAAATGGTTTGCTGTTAGCTTAAGCACATCAAAATAGATCTGCACAAACTCAGATGCATGGCAGATCCAGCACAAAGACAGTAAGAGGCGAGTAAGGTCAGAGAAATGGCAGGATCACAGCAGCCTGAGCTGTTCCAGCAGCTTCTGCCTGGCACATCCGCACTCCTGAACCACCCTTACCTGCTGTGCAGCTGCAGAGAACAACAGACCCCAGAACTAATCCAGCTAAAAATGGAAACCATTTTAAAAGCAGCTTTTCCAGGCAGACCACCATGCTGAGCAGTTTATATACATCCTTACAGAGAGGGACAACTGAGTCAGCTTAAGAGACAAAACAAGATCCAGACCATGTATAAAGTCATAAAACTCACAGAATGGTTTGGGATGGAAGGAACCTTAAAGCTCATCTAGTCCAAGACCACCTGCCATGGGCAGGGACACCTTCCACTAGACCAGGTTGCTCCAAGCCCCATCCAACCTGGCCTTGAACACTGCCAGGGACGGGGCAGCCACAGCTTCTCTGGGCAACCTGTGCCAGGGCCTCACCACCCTCACAGGGAAGAACTTCTGCCTCAGATCTCATCTAAATTTCCCCCTTCAAGTTAAAGCCATGCCCCCTTGTCAAAAGCCCCTCTCCAGCTTTCTTGTTGGCTCCTTTAGGCACTGGAAGCTGCTCTAAGGTCACTCTGGAGCCTTCTCTTCTCCAGGCTGAACAGCCCCGAGTCCACACTGCTCCTGCAAAACTAACTGCCAAATCCTGCATTCATGGCCTGATGAAGCTTCAGCCATCATCGTCATCCCAGCAGCACTGCAGGCTTAAGGAGCAGCAAGTCCTGGATGGATTCATTAAAAAAATAAATCAACACAAGGGGGAGGTACTGGTTTTACATTTTACAAGGTTGTGTTAATTAGGATCAACTCACTGAGTTACCTGCAGCTCTGCAAAATGGTTGTGCCAAAAGCCACTACTGCAGCTGAGAGAACCCCATCCGGGCACAGCCTCATTGCACTCACGTTGTCACAGAATCGCTAAACAACTTGGTTTCCCACCCTCAGCCTCTACAAGGGATAACTAACTCATTTCTCCTCAAAGAAACCATCCCAGAGAGTTAACAGACCTTTTATTCCACTAAGCTGGGCTATCTGTAAAGGAACTGGTTTACAAGGAATCTAGGCTGAGGCAGATAAAGAGAGATGACTCTGAACCCCAGCATCCAGACGCTCACTGTGGAGAATGTGCAGGTATAAGGCTGGTCTCCTCCTTTCCTCAGGACTGTTTATGCACTCCATAAACACTCCTGTTTGTCACAAAATCTCACATGGCCACTGCAAGATCAGAAAAAATACTTATCTTGACAGCTCCATGAAACAATAAATTGTCATCACCACCTCTGAGGACAGGACATAAATGACTTACGCGGAAGCACTCTGGGCTGGTTTGTGCTACAGCTCCCCAGGCAGCAGACGTGATGGCTCCCTGCCCTGTCCACACTTCCAGACACGCCATCCTGCTCCCAGCCTCGTGCCAGCTCCAGTTCCTGATGGACCCCTGACCAGGATGACTCAGCCCAATAACGCAAGAACCCGATATATGTTTGGGGAGAGCGCTTTTCTTTTGTCTCAGAGCAGGGCTGGTGGTCTATTCAGCACTGCCAGTGAATCATAAAATATCTCAAGTTGGAAGGGACCCATAAAAATCATCGAGTCCAACTCACAGCAAGGAAATAAGGTCAGAAACAGGATATGCCCCCATGTGACAGCATGCAACCATTATGTCTGGTTAACACATCTCTTAGAAGTGTGTGTACTCCCCTCTACTGCACAGGTTCAGTTTGAGTTTACAGGTCAATACTGTTGCTGGCAGCTGTCAGAGCAGGCTGACATATTCTGCCCTTAGCTGACCACTGTTACCACTTCTGTGCCGGCCCTGGTGTGCATCAGATGCTCAATATGCAAAGAGAGGGGGAAAAATAATCATTTGACTTATTTTAAAACCAACCAGAAGAAGCAGGTGTGAAATACAAAGTCATACACCATATAACACAGGCTGAGAGATTTGGGGTTGTTCAACCCCAAGATGAGAAGGCTTCAGGGAAACCTTAGAGCAGCTTCCAGTGCCTAAAGGGGCTGCCAAGAAAGCTGGAGAGGGGCTTTTGACAAGTGCTTGCAGGGATAGGACAAGAAAGAATGGCTTTAAACTGACAGAGGGGAGGCTGGACGGGGCTTGGAGCAACCTGGTCCAGTGGAAGGTGTCCCTGCTTATGATAAATGGTTAGAACTGGATGAGCTTTAAGATCCCTTCCAACCCAAACCATTCTGTGATTCTATGATAAGGTAACATAGGGTCAGAAAAATAATTCAGAATCCTGCTGTTCTGAAACAACCCGAAAGGACAGACTTCCACCTTTTGTGGATGGTTAGAGGTGCTGTAATGTAAAACAAAGCAACTGTGAAAGAAGGAATAAGAAAAGAATGCAAGAGGTGATTGTTCTGACAAGAGGAGCTCAATGGCCAAGCGGCACTGGAGACAGACATTAAGGTAAAGAAGCAATGATGCTTCCCTAGTGAGATATAGGAAGGTAAATAAACCACTCCAGCAAGAAAAAAAGGCTTCCAGTAAGGTTATATATTAATATTTGCAACAGCACTGAACAGAATGCAAAAGCATGTATGATTCACCACACAATATTTAAACATTCAGCAATTTACAATGCAGATTAAAGGGAAAGGCACTAACACAGCAGTAAGGTTAAAACCATCCAGCAGTCAAAGGCAAGGTCAAATGTGAAGGTTTCTAATCACTGTGAATTTGCCTCTTTATACACACACACTCGCATTTTACGTCAATGTATTAAGCTAGCTGATAATGCCACTTTATATTTCAGTAGTGCTGGCATAAAAAGAAAATCAACGTGTTTTCATACTTTTTCTTAAACTATTTCTCAAAATATTCCTCAAGTTAAATTATTTCACAAGTAATTAATTTCAAACCATATAACAGAGCAGTGTCTTTTTTTCCTGAACCCCTTTTTCCAGCAGTAAACTTTAAATAGTTTCTGTAAATCCCAATATATAATGGCTTAACCTTTTCCCACTTACAAACAACTTTAATTAAGTCTCTCATGAAACAAAGGAACTATAAAATGCTAACACATGCCAAGCTTTAGGAGGAATTGTAGCCTTTTCTTTTTATAATTAGACACCTTAAAAGGTGTCTTTGACTGATAAAAATGTTCAGAACAGTTTACTGCCAAAACAAATTCCATCCCTACACCAACATTTGTTCCGAAGATCACCATCCACAGCATCACTGGAGTCAACAGGAGGCTTTCCATCAGCTCTAGCAACCACTCAAGCAGGTCTTAAATCCACGTCTGCTAATGCACCATGAAGTTAGAGGTTAAAGATGACCTAGACAAAAAGGATCCTGACGTATTTCCAGGCTTTTTGAATCACTTGAGGATGCAGTGCTCCTGCATGCATGAATATTCCAAATGAACACACATACAACTTCAAAGCTACTAAACCAATTTTCTTTGAAGTTTTCTCCCTTCTATCTAAAGCTTGTAAGCAAATTAGCATTTAACACATCTCGTGTAATAAAAGTGAATGCTAAAAATTTAAACTTCTGTGTGTAGATGATGGACAGGACATGAGAGATCATCATAGTGGTTTAACTGTAACTAAAAATAAACTGCCAATTCAGATGAGCTGAAACTTAAATGATGTGGAGGTTCATAAACATGGACCTTTTCATATCATAGAATCACAGAATGGTTTGGGATGGAAGGCACATTAAAGCTCATCCAAGTTCCAACACCCTGCCATGGGCAGGGACACGTTCCACTAGACCA